TCTGTGTCCGCAAAATGACACCCTGCCACAGAAACGTATAGGCTTGACATTGTGAAACTAAAAAAAAAAAAAAGCTCCTGAAAGACACTACCCAGGAATAGCGGATCCAAGCAATTATGTTAGGCTTTTGGACGTGTTTCCTGTTTGGGACTTTTATTTTGTAAGAGTTTCCTGTTTTTGTCATCTCACCTGCCTCAGCTTTACTCTGGTCCTTGATTTACACTTGGTTTCACCTTTTGCTCATTGTCTGGATGTCTCAAGTCTTTATATTTTCCTATCTTCACTCAGTTAGTTGTTGGTTCATCTGCTCATCACACCCCACTTGCTCCCATGATTCCTGCCTCTTGTTTTATTTGTCTGTCATAAGGTTTTGCACTTCCCTTTGCTTCGTTCATGGACTATGCTGAGTTTGGATTTGGCTTGCCATCTGAGGTTTCTCTTGATTTCTTTGGTTAGTTTTGGTTCTTAGGATGTTATATAGCTCCTTGACTGATCTGTTTAGCTGTTAGTTTTTTCTGTAGATGTCTTAGTGTTGCCTTGTGAGGTTGAACACCTTTAGTTGATCTACTTGTGTCTTTGTTCCTTTCTGTTATTAAAATTGACTGAACACTCATCTCAGTCTGAGTCTGCATCTGGGTCCTTCCCCTACCTGAACCTTGACAAATTTTCAACACACACCTCTCCCTCCTGCCCTATGCAGAACATCCACTGTAGAACTTGGAAGAGGATTTTGACTTTGTTTAAAGGCTACAAAGTAAGACCAATGATTTTTTTTTAAATTTAATAAGGAAGTTGGCTGTTGCTAAGGGTCTTCTCAATCAGGAATCTTTTATGTTCCAGACATCACAAGCATTTCTGTATTAAACAACAAGTAAAAGAATACACCGATATTAAACTGCCATTTTCCAGTGTTTTTTAATGACAAACATTTGTGGTGCAGGCCAAGTCTTCCCATGATACTTCTGTCAGGAGGATCAGTCTGAACTTCATCCTGAGGCAAATCCAGCTGGTCCAAGATTATCCAGCTACTGAAGATGTAATTAGTAATGTAACCAATTGCATTGCACCTGAAGTCTCTGTCATCATGAGACAGTATCCAGAACCCCCAGGGCCCTCTTGTGGACTCCGGCACCGGTGGGCTGTTTTCCACAGGCTGGGCAGTACAGCCTGATCTTCGGTGACTAAGCGCTCTGGAGTCTGGAGGAATAAGCGGGCCAAATTACCAACTTGACTGGCAAATTTTTTTTATTTTAAATACTGAAAAGAGATGACCTCTCAGTCAATCTACCTTGAAAACACAAAAAAAAAAGCTTACAAAATAAAGATGCACATACTGGCAAATGATACTTTTATAGTTGCCTATACATGCTTCCCACAATTCTACTATAAGGACAACCTTCATCTTATCTTATACTCTACGAAGGCAAGATTTACAGACTGTTCAAAATTACTCCCCCCTGCTGCAGGTCTCCTCATGCTTGCTTTCTGTGTAAAACGCCTCAGTCTCAACTAGTCAAAATAGCGTTGAATCACAGAACTGTATGTAAAACATGTAAACAACCTTTTACCTTACAATTTACTCAACACATTTGAATATTGAAGCAAATACTGCCACTTATAAATAGTGAAAACCTCAGCCATTATTAAAAGACACTATAACAAACACTGATGGTGATTTTACACAGATAAGGGTACTTCTATAAATAGTGAAAACCTCAGCCATTATTAAAAGACACTATAACAAACACTGATGGTGATTTTACACAGATAAGGGTACTTCATTTTATTGTATCCCCCCCAAAAATATATATATATATATAAGCCCAGGGAGTAAGTTTTGTTTTGTTCCATTGAACCATGTCCACAACACATCACCTAATGACATCTTCCATTTGAATCGGTGATCTGATGTCCAGATTTGAGACAAATGTTTATGTTCAGGCTAGTGCTGCTTTATGTCTGATACTGAGTCTACTATTTAACATCAGTGCAGTAAAGTTATAATAAATCAAATTAAACATTTGTGTACTCCCATCAGCTTTGGAGGAGATCAGATTATTGTAGTGTAGCCAGCTTCCTGGAATGTGTTAGTGTTAGCCAATGCTAGTTGGTAGTAGTCTTGTAGAAAAATCCTGCTATCACCATTATGAAGTTTGAAGACATGAGCTTTACACCTGGGACGGCAAAGTGTGCACTGAATATCTAAATGTAACTAAGCGATTAAAATTAGAAAAGGACATTTCTGTTTTTGTGCTAACAGACTGACAGTAATGCCATGTATATCTACAGCTAGCCTAGCTTCCATCTTAGCTTTACGGAAAAACAAACACTGAAACTTAAGTTGTGTTGACTCAATCTGCTAGTGGCAGCAGTGAAGAACAGTCATGTTATAATTCACACAGGTAACAGCAGCCATTCAAAGAAGTTTGGATGTAGCTCCTCAACTGTTTGTGTCGTCCCCTTTGATCAAAACTGTTGAACATATCTCACACATATAAAATCCTTGAACATATTTTAGGTAATACCTTCTGATATCACAAGTTAAGGCTGGCGAGCCTCACATCAGGCAAAAAAAGGAATTGTTTGACAGTGATTTTATGGACTTCTGTCAGCAGGTGTAAACTAAATCAAGTTTCTCAGTCTGAATAAAGGTCATGCTGCAAAACATTCACAAATAACTAACTCTGGACAGTAAACATACTGATTGAACTTTAAAGTGCAACCGTTGCCTTGGAAATGTAAAGATCATCACATATGCTCTGATATAAGGAATAAAATGGCCTGACGAATAAAACACATCCACCCATTTACACATTCTGTGCAACTCTGAACACATTCTCCTGTACCATCAACCATAAATGTTTAAATCACATAAAAGTGGGCATTTCTTTTTGTCCATTAAGTGGGTGAATTATATACAATTCACCGCAGCATGTTTATAAATACAAATTCTGCCCAAAAGCAGCAACCACATCCACTGTGCTTCTGTTCCAACTTGGTGCCAGTGTGTTGTATTTGAAGCAGAATAAATTAACAATAAATAAAATACAAAAGTAATAGCTTTCACAAAAACTGTTGACATCATGGCAGGGTAACGATCCCCTGTCTGTGTTTCCCTATGCTGTCTAATATGCCGAAATAACCTTAAAATATCTCATAGTGTTTGAAAATATTTAGTAAAATGTACAGCAGAAGGCACAACAGACAGAGGAGAGAAGTAGGCCACCAACATGATAAACTTGAAGTGGGGACAGTACATTATCAAAGGTCGAAACAACAAGGCTGAAGGAGTTTAAGAGTCAAAAAGGACATACAGCTGAAGCTGGCTCAGGAGTTAAAGAATATTTCACAGCCAAAAACATAATCCTTTAGTTTTCTCTGACAACACAACTCGGCAGCCATCAGCCATGTCAAGAGGACAAAAGTCAAGGAATGCCATCCTTCCTTTGGCAGCACTGAGAGGGTGGCACACTCCAGTCATACACATAAGACAGTCGCAGCTTGACTTCCTCCTTGCAAAGTCTGCCGTCTCGCTGCAGAGTCTGGTGTTTCTCCAACATGTCCTCCAAGCTCTGCTTATGTGTGACCAAATATTTGTTGTTGCAACCACGTGATTTGTACTCTGTGTCAAAGCGTGGGTCATGCGTCCGTCTGACATCCACTGGCGCCAGCCAAGCACCCAGTGACACATCCTCACTCTGCCATGTCTTGAAGTAACCTGTATTCAGATGTATGTAATGTACCAGGTCAGCTGACAGGATGTAGCCTCCGCCTAGTGCATAGGGCAAGTAGTAGTCACAGAGCTCCCAAGAACTTTCTCGCCACTTGCCGGCTGTTTTCACTCGCCCTCTCCCTGAGAAGAAGCCCCAGTACACCCGGTTGGGCTCTTTCCCCTTCAGCTCCTCTTTAAGGAGGTCCAAGCGAGCAAATGTGTCATCATCTGCTTTAAGGACAAACTTGAACTCCACATTCTGGTCCAGCCAGGAGTACATGTGCAGAAGCTTCAGTGTTAAGTTTTCATAAGAATCTCGCAAATCGGGCAGCAAGAGCAGGTCTTTGTGCCGCCCTTGCTCGGTGTTAAGGTTCTGAAGGTCCTCGCTGGAAAGCCCCTGAGTTCCTACCACAAACATGGCCAGAACATCAGAGTCCCGCTTGGCGAGCCAGGTGCTGCGGATGATGCTCCTCCGCTCAGTGTACTTGGGTCCAGTTGTGATGAGAACCACAAGAAATGCTGACAAGTCTTTGGATGTGGAGGAAGGATTGTGCTGCTCTGGATGGGGCTGCGAAGCAATGGCATGGGGGGCAAGGCCTGGAGGATCTGGGTGGCCTTGTTTCAGGGTTTCTGAGGTACATTTTGCCAAGAAGACAAGAACTACAGCAAAGCTGCAAACAGTGCCAATGACCAGGGCTGTCTTGTGGCGGCACACTAGACGTATCAAATTCATGGTGCTGAATCTAGGTAAAAATCACAAAAGATTCTTTGTATTAATGCAATAATATGTTAACGATCAAGGCCCCTAAATTAGACAGTGTAATCACACACTTCTGCAGGCACTATGACTATGACAAGACCGGAAGGTTTATTTATCAAATAAAAGACAAATCTACATGCTGAGTTTCTTCTCATTGTAAATGGATTAATACAGCTGAATATTGGTGTAGCTAGTAATCACACGGCTAAATATTTGCTTTTTACTGGCATTTACAGGCAGATGTAAACAAATATCATCTAAAAACATGATGACAGACTAGTAGCATTAAACTAATGTTTGCAACATCGATCCTTGTATATGAATCCCAGATTTTGTTTTGAGCAACAGTAGCTGTGAATGCCAGATTTTGTTTTGAGCAACAGTAGCTATCGAGAAAGTTAGCTAAGTAACCTCACCTCTGCAGCACACATGATTTAGTCTCACTTTAACATAATACATTTAGGAGAATTGTTAGTTACCTTAGCTAAGTGAACGACAGCTTTCCCGTCAATAACAACAGCCAGAGCGGCCCACAGGGAGCAGCTTTGCAGAGCAAACGTTAGCTACTAAGACAAGACCCTCTGTTCACTTTGTATGTTCACTGCACCGAATGCAAACACACACAGACTGCTCATATTTGGATAAAAGGGGGATGAGAATCCAGTCGAACGGGTCACAATACGCAGATTAAAATACTGGCTGAGGGAGCTGAACCAAACGTCGGTGCATTCATGTTTTGTGTCGTAGTATACACCAAATCACTTCTGTGTGGCCGTGACGAGGAGGAAACGGAAGTTAAGCCCCCCCCAAAAAAGAGGAATAAAAATAACAGAATATAAACTTTAAAAAAATTGTATAGTTGTATATTAGTAGCAAAACGAAATCTATTAGAGAACAATGGGCTAACTCCAAACCTAACTTGGGCCATTTGCCAAGAATCGAAGCCAACAATTACATGTATATAAAATTAAGTGAGCTGTAAAAACAGAATTTTTTGTTAAATACTGTATGTGTGATCACAAAAGTACTTGGGAAAAGGAAATTTAAATGAAGAGAAGACAGCGTGAGGACAGCTGCTGACAGGAGCATGCGCATTAGTCATCAATAACGCTATACGAAGACCCGACGTTATATGGGTTTGCTTCAAAATAAAAGCACAAATGATTATAATGAACTTTCAGAAGACAATGACGACTTTGAGTTGCTTCATGTACAGTATGTGGTTAATTTTCCAGCTCTTATTGACCTTATACAGTTTCATTATTTACTCAAGCACCAAGAAACCATCCTCTCAAGTAGAAATGATTAGTTAATAAATTAATTAACTGAGTGACAGAAATTAACTAACAACAATTTTAAGTGTTTAAAACGTTCAAATGTATCACTTCATAGCATCAATTTCACCAGTATGAATTTACATGGGCCGATATGTTACAGAAATTTTATTTTAATTAATTACAAAAATTCCATTTTCAGTTTAAGATTACGGCAGGTTTAGGTGGACTTTATTTTGAAATGTGTAACCGGAACCGCAATGCTTCATTGCAGAAATGACACTGATGGCAAGTGTCCTTCGTTAGCTAGAAAAAGATGGCCTTAGAGTAATAAAATACTCCTGTGTCGTCTGTACTTAATCTGAACATTCAAGAAATTAGTAACGGACCCGATCATGTAAGATGTTATGTTGATATATGTGTCCGTTACAGATTAGCTTTGTAGCATCACTTTACAGCTGAGCTCGGTAGCTAACTGGTGTTAACGTTGGACCAGGACAGCGGTAAGCGATGACTGGTAGGAGGACTAACCGCAATCATCAGACACTTATACTCGCCATTTTTCTGCTACTTTTGAGTGCGCAGTTGGTGAAAACAGCTTCTGAATACGACCCCTATAAGATCTTGGGTGTCAGCAGGAGTGCCAATCAACCAGAAATCAAGAGGGCATATAAAAACCTTGCCAGGGAATGGTGAGTGACTGACACAAGTCCCCTAACATGGGCTATCATACTGACTGTAGCAGATGAGACCTGTGAAGTTATAAATGTTCATCTGACACCTGAACTGGCGCTTGTTACCATCTGACCTATCACAAACTGGTCTGATTTGTAATGTTAAACAGAGTACCTGTTTCTAACCCTGTATGAACCTAGCAGTGATTTATGGTGCCATGTATGGGCTTTTTATAATAGGCACCCAGACAAAAACAAGGACCCAAACGCTGAGGACATGTTCATCAAGATTTCTAAGTCATATGAGGTGGGTAGTAGCTGACACTGCTGTCAGGCACTATGTTTCATTTTCTGTATCATGATTTCTCTGCAGTTGTCATCACTTTAATAACACTGGCTTCTAACTTTGGCCCTTTTCATTTTCTCTTGCTCATAGATTTTGTCTAATGAGGAGCGAAGGTCCAACTTTGACCGCTATGGACAGATGGATGAAAACCAGCCTTTTGGCCAGTCACAGCACCACGGTTTCCGCAACTTCCATAACAGCTTCTACTTTGATGAGTCTTTTTTCCATTTCCACAGGTACTTGGTTTCAAATGTGTGCTGTTTAACACAACTTGTCTTTGTTCATAAATATTTATTTCCCAGCATGCTCCTGTGGCCAGTCCACAGAGTGTGTTGGATGCCTCTGTATGTTTTTTTGATTGGTTATTGATAATTCCTTGACTTTGGTCATGTTTCCCCAGTGTGTATGATAAAGTCTTGTACTGTGGACACATTCCGTAAATTATTCTGTTAGTCTGTCACTAGATAAATCATGCAAACCATGCTGGCTGTAGCTTCTCAGATGTGAGGGTTTGCTTGTGTTTATATATTTTAAACCATTTTAAACTGATTAACATTCTTTGCATCGAGTTTGAGATGGAAATTTGGGGATTTTTAAACATTGTAGTAATCATCAGTAATGAAGAAGACAATCTTGTTACTTTTTTCTTTTGTCAACAAGGGTATCTACTTCTACATATGCACCAAGAATTAGAATAAGAGAAGATATTGATGTTACAGTCTGTTTTGTCCTGGCAGGACCCTGTAGTCTCCCAGAAACGCTCACTCCCTCATTTCTGATTCTTCTGTAGGTCCAGGGACTTTGCAGACAGCAAGTACCTGCTTCACCATGCACAGTTTAACAGCGATATCCTTCCAGACAGCCACAAGAGGCCATACCTAATCAAAGTGACTTCTGAGTGGTGCTTTGCATGCATCCACATTGAGCCTGTGTGGAAGGAGACTGTGCAGCAGCTAGAGCCGCTGGGTAAGTCTGTTCACAACACACTCTCAGGGTTGGGGTTGGTTTACCTAAAAGGATCATAAGGTTGATGTTTACTCAATTGCAGGCCATAAGGACAAATGTAATTCCAACTGTTAAGATGCTTTCCAGAGAGCCTGCCATTTCTTTAATTATTCATTAGGGTTTATTTGTTTTTCTTGAATCTTTGAAGCAGAGTGTAAAACCAGGGGAGAAATTCAGCCCTGTGTAACAGTTGTCTGATACTGGAATAAAATTTTAAATTAATTAATTCTGCTAATTAGAAGTACAGCATTCCCCTTGTTCTTTAGATTGAGTCTGATGCTCAGTTTGTAATAGTTAAGTGGCCTGCCCTGGAACTACACTATAGCTTACATATTAATGTAAACCATGGTGCTTTACTATGCTTAAGACGCCCGGTGTAAGCCGTGGAATGTGTATTCAGCATGGATAAAAATGGTTACCATTTATTTACTGCGTGTAGCAAAATGAGTCAGTACATACGCTGTCCTTAACTTAATTTGGTATAAACAATATAAAAATTAAAGAAAAATGTGTTAAAGAAGCAGATATTCTTCTTTGTCCACTTTGGGACAGAACTCCACAACAGGTTGGAGATCACACATATTTGACATTTGATAGTCTTCTAATGTTAATTTGGCCAACAGTTGGATATTTAGACATTTAGTAGAAATGGGCAGCTTTCGCATTCATTTGTAGTCATGTTTCTGTCACCATAACAAGCATAGGTCCATTTTTACCTTGACTAATTGCTGACAAGAACATTTGGGTGTTAGGCCAGTAAAATACTTTGCCATGTTTACACCATGTCACTAAATTTGTCTGACATTTGATGCAGGACAGATAGTGTATATTTAGTTTAAATCTTTAGGGTTTATTATGCTGGAAACCAGACTGGTGAAAGTGAACCAAAACTGTCATAAAAATACAGTGACAACGTCTTTTTTTTTGCACAGTGGTTGTTGGGTTAAATAGAGAAAAATACACATATGCTGCGTTTGTAAATTACAGCTTGGTTTTGAACTGTGAATTTGAACAAGTTCCTATTTCAAATTAATAGCATACAGTGATTTTACCTGGAGATGGGGAGATTTGATTGTATGAATGTAAAATAACTAAGTGGAAGTCCAATGTCACAATACCAGTTTTGATTTAGACTTTATTTTTTCCATAAAACAGCTTGTGTTTTGCTCTACTGTATCAGGTACAATAGCAGCCTGTTTTTGTTTTTACACCAGGCGTGGGTATTGGCATCGTAGATTTGGGCTATGAGCGTCGACTGGCCACCCAGCTGGGGGCTCACCGTGCTCCCTCCATCATCGGGCTGGTGAACGGCAAGGTGACCTTCTTCCATCAAGCTGTGGTCCGGGAGCACCTGCAGCAGTTCATTGAAGACCTGCTGCCCCACAGACTGGTGGAAAAGGTAACTGCAGCTGACACAAATGTAAAAAATGTTGTTATTCATCTGATTATAATTGAAAAGACAGGCCTGGTGAAGTTAACATAATTTACAAAAATTACTCCTCAAATGTCCTTCCACAAAGGGGATGGTGGTGATGAATAATACAGCTCTTTAGTTAAGCTAGTGTAGATGGTTGTAACTTAATTTAGCAGGAATACACGTTGAACAAATTTCCTTTATTTCCTCAGATCACAGATGATAACTACCTGGCTTTTCTGGATAGCTGGCATGTGGAAAATAAGCCCAGCGTTCTCTTGTTTGACCAAGTTCCTGTTGTTCCCTTGCTCTATAAGGTAAGTGATGTATTTCCACACACATGAACAAAGGTGTGGCACAAAGTTTTATAGTGGGAATCAGAGCTGGTTGTTCATTCTGGCTCTTAAAGCAAAGTCATATTTTGAGATCTGGTGTTGAGGACCTGTCTGCCACACAAGACAGCAGATGAACCCCAACAGTAACTACAGAGGCACCTGTGTGAGCAGCTTGAAGCTTTTCTGCTTGCCAGTTAAAAGCTTATCTATTATTACACAGACTTGTACCCTTTAACCGATCGCCATCAAATGCACCTATAAATGTGTTGGATGGAGACAGCAAGAGCACTAACATGGGAACACACTTTCAATCAGTTCAATTTTTTTAGTTACAACTATTAAATAAATAGAGTTATGAGTTTATATAAAAGCAGAAAACAGTTTACTTTGAACATTTCTTTTTTATATTCTCTTCTTTATTTTAATGTATGTAATTTGGGTGCTGTCACCTTCCCACTCCGCTCTCCAGTTAACAGCATTCGCCTTCAGAGACTATGTGCGTTTTGGCTACGTGGACCAGGGTGACACGCACAACACTCGACTACTGCGGCAGTTCAACATAAACACATATGCCCCCACCATGCTGCTGTTTAAGGAGGACACAGAGAGGCCTGTTGATGTCATCCAGGTACTCCTGCAGCCTAGACCACTGTTTCCTTAGTTTAATAGTAGTAAACTGGTAACTCCTGCTGTATAAGGACACAGTTTCAACCTTTGTAGCCTAAAAGATAAAGTTTGAATTGTGTTTGGTATTTCTGTCTGACCAAAAGTTTTAGAAAGTGAGTTTTTAATTGGAGTCTAAATTTGTAATAATTAACTATTAAGCTATTAAATAAGTTTTGTATGATTTTTATTATTTTGCTAAATGTTGCACGCACTCAAAGGCCAGAGGGATGAAGCGACAGCTCATGGATGAGTTTGTCTCCAATAACAAGTTCCTGCAGGTGCCACGACTTGTCAACCAGCAGCTTTTTGATGAGCTCTGTCCTGTCAAGCAGTTCCACCGACGGAGGAAGTAAGACATTTTATGAGCAGAGTTGTAGCTTGTGGTCCTGCATTTAATACGTTGACTTCTTGTGTAGTAAGAATTTATCAAATGAGGCAGTTTTTCTTACCTCTTTCTTTTTTTTGTTCATCTGACAATAAAACTGTTGGACAGGCGTTACAGCTTTTTGAATTGATGTGACTGAATGGTTCGTAGGTACTGTGTGCTGCTGATCACAGGGGAGGAGCAAGCCTTTCTTCCAGGCAATAAGGCCTTCGTGGACTTCGCTACAGCTAACAAAAAAGAGGTGCTACGGTTTTCATACGTCTACCAGCGTCAGCAGCAGCCTCTCTGTCTAGCACTGCTCAATCAGGTTTCACTCACACCTCAGGTCAGTTGCAGAAACACGCATGCGAACAGCTGCCTGTACCATAAAACAAATCTCATTTATGATATGTTTCTATTACAGATATGCAGCATAGCCTCAATTTACAGTATAAGTGCTCTTCCATTCCAATGACAGGTGGTGATTCTTGAGCGGCGGAGCCCAGCTGGTAAGGTCCTCTACCGTTCTGTGAATGGTGGCTGGAACGGCAGCGAAGAAGACAAGTATCACCTCCAGGAGCAGCTGGAGCTGCTTCAGAAGGATCCCACCTATCTGAGTTTGGATGCAACACTGCCCGAGCTCAACAACGAGATGGCCCCTGTAAGCCCCAGCAGACACGCACTCACCATAGTTTTTGAGACAACCTGACCGGTTCTGCACAGACATGTACAAATAAATCTGAAGAGTTTTAACTGGAACATTTTTGATTAATGTTGCTGTTTTCTCTTATTTGTGATCGCTTGTCAGATTTTTATTATTCAGTGGATGAATGCTGCCTATGATTACATCCTTCAGCTATATGATGAGCTTCTCTACTCAAACTGGTAAGACAACACTCACCCAGGAAGTCTACAGCATTCAGTGCCAAAAAAACAAGACTGGCAGACTAGATATACTGATATGTCTGTAATTTATCAGAAGCTGAATCATTCTTCTGCATCAGGTTACCTGCATTATGTGTCGGGGGCTCTGTGTTTACATTTGCAATGTGTCCTGTCATTACTGTGGTGCACTTCAAACATGTAACTACAAATAGAGGCTGAACTGGTTTTATGGAGACTGCAAGGAAAGTTATTGGTTGACATGGGCTGCTTTCTATTTTATCCTGGATGTTTCAGTAATAAAGTGTCTCTGTTAAAGGCGGGAGATGATGCCCATCCTGTCCTTGATCTTCTCGGCTCTCTTCATTCTTTTTGGCACCGTCATCATCCAGGCATTCAGGTGAGAGTCATGGTTCAGTTTGAGACCTAATCATGTGCTTAAACAGTTGACTTGAAGTTAATTAAAAATATCTAATACTTAATGATACTGACTAGTAGGACTGCAACTAACAACCATTTTAATAATCGATGAATCTGTTATTTATACAGTTATCAATCATAGAAATAGATTATCCACTTTATGAAAACAAAAATGGGTTGATTTAACACAGTGCTTCTGTAATGTTTCTGTGTAGTGTGTTATTAATCACGCCTCATTGACGTAGTGACCCAGCTACATGACTATATCTAACTAATTGACAATTAAATTAGTTGTCAACCATTTTTACTATAAATTTTTATCGATTACTTGTTGCAGCCCTACTGAGTAATTCTTTGATAGAATGAGTTATTTAACATTTGTTTATCATTTTTGTCTTCTACATGATTATTCCTGGTTTTGACTCCAGTTGAGCCAAATAGTGGCTGGATACTGCTTCCTCATAATGTTACTGGTGGTTTCCTGTTTGTGGTTGGTTTTCAGTGAGCCAGGTGAGAACAAACCCCAGAAGCCAAAGCAGCAACCACGAACTGAGGATGATGCATCAAGTGGAGCGAGTACCTCAAGGTACTGCCGTGAAACAAAAGATGGATACATGATACTTTTACTGGAGATCACAGCAGATTCACAACCAAAAGCACAGTTTCACACAGACAGTAGACTATATTGACAGTGTGTTCTAGGTGTTCAGTATTTCCAGTAAAGCTTAGATTGCAGTTCAGTTTAGTTGTGGAGTTGCTCTTTAATTTTGACACATAGTGAGGAGGGAAATGAGAAAATCCGGTGCATGTGTGTGCGTACTCTTCAAAGCAATTATGCATGCATGGTTATTATAGTAAACAGTAACAATTAACATGCTCAATTAAAGAGTCTACTTTTACAGCGTGATTATCATGAGATTAATTTCTCCCTCACCATAATCAGGCATAAGCAGTATACAGAATAGGAACTCGTGTCTATAATCATTTATAAGAAAAATAGTTGCTAACTGGTAACGTGGAAAGAACTACAGGGAATACAGCAGTTCTTAATAAGTGAAACTAACATCTACTGGGATTACCAAAGACACACAAAATGGTTTGAATGATTGGGCTACATCCAACACACACCTAAACATGTGATCTTAAACTGTCTGATTAAAGGATTCAAATGTATCTCAATATAGGTTAACATAAGTCTAAGTGAGATGCCAAAGATAACATTTTGTACTGTGAAGTTAAGATGCTGTTCTTCATGAAATTATAACCATTACTGCCTCACAGTGTGCATTCTCATCATCGGTGTTTAACTGAGGTAGCAAAAGGTTATTCTGTGGTTGTGATTCTAACACTCAGATGTTGTCGGTAGCTTCATGTCAGTCACAAGTCAAGCATTCATATAAAAACAAATCATCACTTTGTAATCATTGCATTTGGTCTTCAAAGGTCAGAAAGCATAACAGTTTTGTCCAATGGTGGCAGTGTTGCTCCACAGGAGGATTTCCTGAGGGAGGCTCAGAGATGCAGAGGTCTGTTGGGAGATAGAGTTTAATCATACAGTATCTTGGGATTGGAATCTGATAGGAAGACAGGCTCTTCACATGTAGTCATTTACTAACAATACTAAAAACATGAATGCCAACTAAGAGCGTTATTTATGCGACATTTTCAGTGTGTCCATATTGAGTCCGTGTGAGTTTGTGTAGTGTTAATAAAGAGTTCAGCCTGAGTTCCGGTATTTACGACCTGATAAGATGGGCTTTTAACTGCAGTGGGTTTGCCTAGCTGGAATGCAAAGGAGTATCCTGTGGAGAAAGGGTCCGTGTCCACAATGTGTGTGTGTGTGTGTGTGTGATTTTTTTTTTCTTTTTTTTTTTTTTTTTTTTTTTTTTTGGCACTTTTCTTTAAAATCCTTGAAAATCCAATGAGTGATGGTTTTTCAGTCTTTGAAAACATGTTGGTTAGATGTTAAACAGGTCTACTAAAGAGAACAGAGACCTATGAAGATATTTGCATGTAATATCCTGAGTGGCAAAGTGAGGTTGTTCGGCTGTGCATACGCATTGCATGAGATGAATCAGGGTGACGACATCCTCCTCTGCTGTGAAATTACTAAACTCTGTCTCAGTGGTGGTTTCATGTTATTTAAAATCTTAAATCCCCCGTCTGGATAGCAGGTGGTTTAGAAACTGTGCCAAATGTGACGTCACACCCAGGGAAACAATCGGACATGAGAGGATAAGCCCACCCCCTGTAGGGGGTTTGGAGCTACATGAAAATAGCCGTGCTAAGGCTAAGCTAGCTGCCTCCAACTACATTAGAAAAAAATGACTGGTACTTTGTTAGGAAACTTAACACAGTCCTGCCTTTTGAAACATCCTGTTGAAGTCTCTGGTGTGCAACAGCAGGTCCCATTCCTTCCCATTCAGAGTCAGACTCTGGTTCATGCCTCTCTATTACTGTCTTGTTTTCAGCAGAAGCCATTACACAAGGCAAAAAAGCAACACTAAGATTCATTAGGTCCTTTTCTGATTGGCTGGGGTTGAAGATCAGTGGTCGACCGATGTGGGTTTTTCAGTGGCTGTTACCAATGCCAATTTTTAGAGAGCAGAGAGGCCGATGATCAGTATATATAATGCCGATATCATGGTCGCCCCCGTATCAGATAAGACACACCAATTTAATAACAAATGAGACACACATGTCCTGAACAAATGAGCATTTATTTAACCTTAATAAGAAAGAGAGTCACTTTCGGCTTTTCCCGTTTTAGGGGTCGCCACAGCGAATCGTCGCATGTTGACATTTGGCACGTGTTTTACGCCGGATGCCCTTCCTGACGCAACCCTGACTCGAACCTGGGCCGCAGCGGCGAGAGCCCTGCGCCTTAACCACTAGCCTACCAGGGATGGCATTTATTTAACCTTAATGAAAATGAAAATACATTTACATTCTCTCATTTGCTGCAATCTGCATGCACTGTAATAAACCTTTATGAATAAAAGATAAATAAGGTGCTCAGGGAAGGTGCTTGTGAATAATTTCAATTTTATGTCAGTAGCTTCCTAATCAGCCTGCTAGAGGACAGAGGGGAATCAGGGCTGTATGTAAAGATGGACTTTGAGAAATCTAAACAGCTACATGTATGTGTGAATAAAAAATCACAGATAGGGGTAAAATACCCTCAGTTTTCATAAAAATGGGTCAAAGACGACCAATAATGCTACCTCGTTGAAGGATAGGTTCTTTTGTCACATTTGCATTTAGAAAGTTATTGGTGTCTGTAATCATTCCTCTATTCTTCCTCCCTGTCACAACTTTAACAGATTATATAATCCCATTTTTCTTTCCCTCTCTATAACATTACCTCTCTCTGTGTCATCGTTTCAAGCAGTCGTCCTCCTAAGAAGGACTTTGTGGAAGTGACGGAGCTGACGGACATCACGTACACCAGTAACCTGATCAAGCTGAGGCCTGGCCACATCAATGTTGTGTTGGTGCTCACCAATGCCTCCAAGAATGCCTTGCTGAGGAAATTTGCTAAAGAGGTTTTCTCTTTCTCTGGGTAAGCCTTAGCCTTCAGTATGATAGAGGTTTTTCTTTATTTTTTGCACAACAAAAAGATCCCTGTACAAGGGATCTCTGTGCTGCCTGTATCCTACACATTTTTGTATATGTAAATCCAGAACTCTGGTTAAGTCATGGAATAATATCAACATCATTTAGTTTACTTTTTATCTGGTCTTCTAAGATGCCCTGATGGCACACCTTTGATCAGCCGTTGCTGGTTCCAGCTATTAATCCCAAACTGCTCTGGCATTACAGGACTCAGACTCTACACTTCTCTTTCCTCAACGCTGATAAGCACTACCACTGGATGCCATCACTCCTTCGCTCAGCTTCTGACGCTACAGAGAGCATGGGACATTCAGAAGAGGATGAGGAGTCTTCGGATTACACCGGCCACGTTCTGGCCCTCAACGGCCACAAGAAATACTTTTGCCTGTTTAGGCCTGTCTTCACAGGGGATGATCCCAGCAACTCTGAAACCTCATTCTCTGACAGGAGTAGAAAGTCCCGGTCCAGGTCCAGATCCAGCTCCCACTCTCGATCCCGGTCTAGTTCCAGGGAGGACGGGACCGGCACCAAGAGTGGCTCCAGTAGGGCCACCAGCATAGAAGTCCACCATAAGCTTGACAGGCTGGGACTGTGGATGGAGAGACTAATGGAGGGTACCCTACCCAGATTACATGTGCCTGCATGGCCTTCCCTTGATGAAACCGCTAACACCTCTTCCACTGAGAGCTGAGGTCAAAATAAGATAGACACATACTCTTTGTGGTCTTGTCTCCTGTTTTAGTTAACAGGAAACCTACAGAGCATTGTTGTAGTTTTCAGATTGCTAAGATCCCTTTTACAGAGGTAAGTTGCTGCCACAGTTGCAACCTGTTTACAGAATGGTTTATTTGTATGTTGTATAAGGCAGTTTGAAATTGGTGGCTTAGACAAACCTTTAAAATATACTGATGTGCATCTTTGACATGAGATGAATGCATATTGAGACAAAGTTTGGGCTGTGTCATCAGTTAATGATTCTGTACAGAGACAGGAGCCAAAACAGGAACAAATCTATTGAAAAAAAGCAGCAAAAGAGATGATTCTTCTGTTGTGTTGACTTAAAAATGCTTACAATGAGTTTGAGGTTCATACACATCCGGATGATGCATGTCGTTGGCTAGCTGCAGTTTTTTTTTCCTATCCTTTAAATTACTGTTAATTTAAATGATATTTTTCTTTTGCTGTACTTTGAACCACCTAGAGCCTCTAACATTTTTACAGTCTACAGCCCCCTGTCATGAGTTTGACCTTCAGCATTATATCCCGCCGAGGGAGAATTCTGCTTCATGTGTTCAGATCTCCACACAGGCTTTTTTTGGAGGCAGGTTAAAATGAATAAAGGCTTGCAAACTGAGCCTGTTGCACTGAACTTATGTATAATTCATTTTTATGAACTTTTGGAGCCTTCAGTTGAACTTGATTATTGTCCTTCGTTTGCTATTATAGGTCTGCCACTACAAAGAGAATTTCACACAGTGACACAGCCATTTATATTTCAGTGTGTTTTTAACGTAGGATTGATGGTTGAACAGTGTTCATCATGATGGTTTTCTGCTCAGACCAAGGCCAAACTCCTGTTTTGTTTAAATTTGCCATCTGTTGTCTGAATCGGGGAGAAATCATAAATCCTACCATACTGTAATTGCTCTTTTTAAGTCTGTGCTCATAAACCACTGTAAATGTTACCACATGGAATAAGTAGACCTAAAATCACTAATACATGTTTAGTGAATTTGCACTGGCAACTTAAATGTTTCACCCCCTTTATCTCGTCCTTTCACTCTGTAAATGAATAATTTGCTACTCAACAAATAATATTTGCAGTACACTAATACAAAATGGGTTTTTTTTCTTCAATGTCCTGTGAACTTCATTTTTGTTTCTATGTCCAACTGTGAGAAATTAAGTGTAAATTATTAAAAGATACTGCTTTTAACAGTTTATTTATTAAAATGTGTGAATATGTTTCATCTGCTTAATGTCATTTTCCTTATCTCCCATAATAAATACTTTTACCGTCAACAACAACAGCATTCAGTATGTTCATGTAAGATCACCAATTCAGGCTCAGTGTATTGTACTGCTAACAGTCCGGCCATTAGTTGCACTTTAGTAATATTACAGTGTACAGAATGTATATGTGTGTGTGTGTGTGTGTGTGTACATATATATATATATAGAGTGTGAATTAAATATGTGACAGATATGCATGTGCATTAAACAGTGCATGTCATGGTGCAATAAAAACCAACACGTGAGCATTTTATACTAGAACACAGGCTCAGTACTTGTTGTCAATGTCAAACACCTTTTCCATGTACAGGTCTTCAGGGCCGAAGGAGACGGGCAGCAGCTCATCCACAGTCATCTTCAGACATGAGCCATCAGGCTTTGAAAGGTACACATCCCAATCTGACCCAAACTGGGAAGGAAATGGGAAGAAATATTTCTGTAAATCCATGCACATAGCATGTCTTCTAGAATGTTATTTATACTGACAACACAAGAGATATTCAAAAACATTGGACACTGGAAATATGGTTTACCACCAGTCTTGTATAACAGAACCTCCTTTGATAACATTTACACCGCTGAGAAGCTGATACCACATGCCATCCAAAAAAACTTCCCAAATACGCTAAACCAAGACAGGCAGAGATCATACCTCTCTCATGAACTGCCTGCAGCCACCGCACGGGGTGATGAACTTCTCACTCACGTCACTGCAAAGGATATATGGGGAAAAGGTTTTGTATATTATAACATAAACATAGTCTGTTATGAACTGTTATAATGTTGTAGCCTCTGTTTTTTAGGACCGATGGAAGTATGTCACAGTGTTGCTTTGATAATATAATCATACTTATTTTAAACATCCCCATTGTCTCCTGAAGATGGTTTGCTTTGCTACAAATTGTCCTGTTTGTACTCAGTTTTATACAGTTTTCTCACGCAGTTAAAAATTATGCTCATTTAGTTTCAGCACATTGATTACAGCCATCTCTTTCTTGCCTCACTTGTTTGTCAACTCACCATCACTTAGACAATGACTTTTGAGAAGTAATACCAGAGGTTTGACTCAGTTCAGTAAATTTTGAGGACGTGCAGAAGAGACTGATCTCAAGTAGAGTGACTCATGATTAGTATGCTGACTGTGCAAGGCCAGAGTGGATGAGTGGATGCTGGCTTCTCTGAAACTTTCCAGATTTGCATTTGTATTGGCCCAATGTGGAAGTTACGTACCTGGCAATTGCAATGGCCTTGAAAGTTATGTAACCTTCTGATACTGCCTTTGCGATTGCAGTCCTTTCAGCACATATACCCAGGTTGTAGCATGCATTCTCCACATTGCAACCTGCCAGAGGCACAAATAGAGCCATCAGCTACTTTGACTTTTTGCTTTGCTGAAACCAAACTTTGACCTGAGGTTGTTTATTTCCCCTGTCCTAGTCAAATAGTTACTCAGTGGGTCCTGGCACTCACAACTGTTTGCCAGGGGTTTTATTTGTTATCTTGCAGTAGAGAGACAAGTTCAAAATAAACATTTACTATGAGTTTATATCAGTGTCAACTCATCAGTTCTGTCTGTCCTCAGGTAATCACTAACATAGTGTAGAATACCTAATTCCAATCCAGCAAATGATAAATTTTCACATACTTTTAATTTGAAAAGAAAAAGGAAATCAGAATGGTCAGATTATTCACCTTCTGCTCATTGCCCCACACCTCAAACAACGAAGCACCGGGAACACACTTTACTCAAACACAAGTTTAATACTGGAGCTCTGATTTCTGCCCTGCTTGAAATGCAGTAAACTTTATCAATATATTTTTTTGAATAACATGAGTTTTTCAATTGTACTTGCTAAAAAAAAAGCTAAGGATTTGACAATTAGTAAAACTGTAGATTAAAATAATTTGTGATTATCAAATGAAATCTGGGCGTACAATTCCTATTCATTTCAAACCTTATACCAAATATGTACTCCAATACAACAATCCAGAGTTTCACATGTACTTTACCTGTAAACACCCGGTTTTCATTGGTCAGGAGAGCGGCTCCCACTCTGAATTTGCTGTACCGACAGTAGGCATGCTTCTTTGCTTCCTGAGACTGTTTGATCAGCTCCTTGACTGTTTCCTGAGACAAGGGTTGGGAGCCCTGCTCCTTAATATTTGTAGAGCTGTACTGAGTCAGTGAATGTCTGTTGCAACTCAGCTTTGAATGTGAATGGGGAGAGAGGGGAGGCAGTGAGGGTACAGTCCTAGCCAATCACTCCCTAGAATATCACCATACTGTCACTGGGCAATGGGAGGCACTTTTGTTGCTGCCAAAACTCATGTACAGACATATTAAAAATGTGGTTCAAACAGGGTGGGTACACTGAACTGTTATCTGACTAAAATAGTCTGTGGGAAAACAACATTCCTGTCGGCTTTTGTTCATTTTGTTTTGTTTTGTTTTGTATTAGAATGTAATAGTCAACCAAAAAGAGAGGACACAGTTTCTGAAAATATGTATTTTTATTAAGTGCAGCTTCACTTTGAGCTCTGTGTCAGCAGGGACACTGACATTTCAAACACCAAAATGATCTCTGAAATGGATTTAGTCCAAAATCTGTGACATGGTTTTACATCACTTTAGGAAAACACTATAAACACAGTAATGTTCACAATGTAACTTTAAAATACAAATTGCATTTCATTGCACTTGATTTATTATTTCTGATAACCTCACTAAGTGGGAATTATTAAGTTTTACCTGTGTGCTTTAAACTTGTTTCTATTGATAATATGTATGATACAGATAATATTTTTACCAAGCAGCTTCATATTGTATAAAAGACAAACATATCCATTAAGGGCTTTAGGTTCTTTTTGATTCATTCAAATCTTCCTCATGCTTGAGTCTTGGGTGAGTTTGTTAAAAAAAAAAGAGTCTCATTAGTCTTATTAGCTGTTCTGGGTGACCATCTTGATCCATCCAACATAGTTTCTGACCTTGGTGTAGACACCAGGGTAGAGAGCATAGGCACAGCCAATGCCCCAAGAAACAATGCCCTCAAGTTTACCATTACAGACAAGAGGTCCTCCTGAATCACCCTGAAGATGGAAAAGTTAACAGTTAATGTTTATACAGGTTTTGTGCAGATAGTGTGACACATTTTAATGTAAAATAAAAGAATGAAAAATCTGAATTTTGAAGTGGTTCCCCAGAGATAATATTTGAAGATTGTTATTTGTGATTGTTTTTGTGCTAAATTCTTGTTATAAAAACCTTTAAAGCTGCACTAATCAATATCAACCTATTATCAGTCTTGTGTCTAACATCAGCGGGCGCCTGTTGTCAGCAACAACAGCATCAGTCAACAAATAAACAAAATGGGCCACCTGAATATAATATTTAGCAACTAAAGAGCCACATTTTTTTTCTCAGGATGTGAAGAAAACAAAACTAGAGCTATAAGGTGAATTTATCAGGTGGCCAGAAACACAACACCACATAAATACTGTTATTACCACATTTGCCAACAGTATAACGTGATACATAGTATATCAGTGTTGTGCTTACAGCTTGTTCGACTGCCCCCTAGTGGACAAAAATCAATTAACACAGCTTTAGTAGTAGCAGAAAAAACCCTAAAATTAATTACTCTCAGTCTGTTTGAGAGTGATAACAAGATTCAGTTCCTGAATAGAATTAAAACAGTAAAGGATTAACATTACTTTTATTTAAACCATAAAATATTGCCCAGAAAGTTTTACATGACACTAGGCTCTGAAGTATTACCTGGAAGTATATGATTATCTCTCATTCTTTAACACTCACACACCTGCACAGCCTTTTGGTCATCACTTACAAGGTCTGTACATAGACACACACATAGACACACACACACACACACACACACACACACAAATACAAACATGAATTAATGCCTCACCTGACAAGAGTCCTTCCCACCATAGAGTGAGCCAGCACAGATCATGTTGTCCGTAATCCTGAAGAAGTAGTAGTAGTACTTGCAGTTGGAGAAAATGTTCACATCCACAGAATTGAGTACAGGTGACAGGGTGTAGCTGTTGAGCCAGGTCACACCCCAGCCACTGACTATGCACTGGGCCAAGTTGGCCAAGGGCGGTGAGTCAGGAGCTGGCAAAGGGACCGGTTCGACCTTATTGTTGATGATAGCTGGACGGTCCAACTGAAGCGCAGACAACATATCCTTCAGTCAGTTGACATAATACAATACAATACAATACAATTCTGAGGGTAGCACTGTACATCATGAATAAAGAGGTTATTGCACTTTAAAATGACCTACTGTGTGGTCTGTTGACTCATAAAAATACTGTAAAACACTGTGTAAAACAAAATACACATTCTAAGAACAGATAAAACAAAAACTATAAACTGCTCTGAAGCAGCTTTGTGAAAATAACCATTGACCAGTTTTGTACCTTTCATACTTCTGCTTAACTACATTTCAGCAAAAATATTGTAGTTTTATTCCACTGCATTTTCCTTATATCTATAGCTACTTAGTTTGCATATTACTTCTCACAAAACATTACCAGATTCTGAAACATGATGTATCATTTACTGAAAAATCTTTCTTTATCTAGTCGTTTTAGTCTGTCTGAAATTTAATCCTTAGGTTTTTTTTTAAATAAAAGGATCACCCATCTTTAACAGGAGTATTTCAAACAAGCTCAGTAGGGGATTGGATCAGATTAACCTTTTAAAGAATTTAGTAAAATCATCTTTTTCATTATTGTGATACCAGAACTGCATTAATCTTGTTTTAAAATATACTTTTACTCTAAGTAGTGTAGTGGTAAAAGCAAACTTAATATAGTTTATACTTATTAGGCCAGTGTTAGCTATATTCTAAGTAAACAGGGAATATTTTGATCACTTACATAAACTCAACTCACATGAACTTAATGGCCACTCAGCTCTCTCTCACACACACACACACACACACACACAAGCTGATACCAAATATGAGCTACATGCTGTCTGATTACATATTTCTGTTGGAGTCTGATTTACTGCTAACCACCACAGGGCTAAGTATGGTCAGAGATAAACTTTTGTGAGGATCCTCTGCATAAACATGGGGTCCAGCGTCCTGTTTCCTAGTAATTCTAGGGGCTTCCCAGAACCGCGGGAGGGGGCCCGCTAGATGTCCAGATTGACATGATGCAGGAGGTTCAAGAAGTAGGAGAGCCATATAATCAGCTGCAAGGCTGAGAAGATGGACTCAGACTTGACGAGCGTGTGGGTACATTTGGGGGACTTCAGAAGACAGACAAAGACCCCAAACTCTGCAGAGATCCACAACTCCAGGTGATTCTGTTTCTCTCCCTCTGAATTCACGTTACAATATATTGTTCAATAAATGATGATTGGCACTGCAGTGATTCTCCCTGTGAATTAATTCTATACACGACAGTAGAATTATTGACAGAGCTGTCTTTATGTGAATGGGGTATTAACTGTCCAAGATACGCTTACAACCAACGTGCTGCTCACACACTAAAGCAACACAACTAATAATCATTTACTGTATGACACTCTGAATGGGGCCATTTGATACGATGAGTGCTTTTACTTTGACACTCTAAGTATATTTAGCTTGGTAATACTTCTGTACATTTACTTGAGTAAGATTTTGAATGCAGGACTTTTAATTGTAACAAAGTATTTTTGCACCACTGGATTGGTACTTTTTGTTTTATTAAAGGATCTGAATACTTCTTCCGCAGCTGGCTGTTAGACATGTTTCAAACTTGTCTAATGAAAAGACAAGTTGCAGTGCATTATGGGATTTTTTTTTTATTTGACCGATACTATGATATGTTTGTCTCTGCTGCTTCAATTGTGACCATTCTTTTATAAAATCTGTCTCTTGTGAGTTTCCCAACTTTGTGGGAATGCAATACTGAATATTAGGAGTAACCCTTTATGTTGAATTTGGGTGTGCCTATTAATAAGCACTGATAGTTAAATGCTTGATCATTAGTTTTCATGAACTGCATCTGTGTTTACCTTAACATGACACATCTTTGTGACAACTGGAAGACAGCGATACTAGTATTTATATCGAATGTCAGTGTTGGCACAGCTATATATGAAACACCTTGTGCATTTTAATGCTTATTTTATGACATTTAGTCTGCCTCAGGTCATGTTGCAGGTCAGACTCATCAATGTCTGGAATCAGTAAAGCCCCAAATAACAGTGTCTATATCAAATTATAGTCTGCATCAAACCACAGTCCTGTGTCATATACCTCATTCATCTCTTACCTTAAGCAGCATGATATCGTTGTCAAACGTCCAGGACTGGTACTGGTAATGCCTGACAATTAAGGACACATTAAACACCTGCTCAAAGCCCTCCACTGTGGAGAGAGTGTGCTCACCCAGGACCACTTGGATCAGGTGATTCCTACAAGAGCACAGTCAAGACAAAGGTCAAGATGTTTGTTCACTGACTACTGATCACACCATCCAGCACTACTTTCAAAATTACATAAAAGTTGTTCCAGATAATTATAACATTATTTGTATTATATAGCTTTGTGATTTGAAAGGTGCATCATTTGCCACATCTGTGGATGTTCAGTAAATCTGGCCCTCACTTTGAGTGCCACAGGTGTCAAACTGCAGTAACTCACGGTTTCCAGCAGTGGGCAGCAGACACCACCCACTGAGGTTGAATGAGGATGCCCCCACAGTAGTGATAGTCCAAGTACAGGAGAGAGGCTTGATACTTGGTGGAGTAGGGGGCTACCTCTGCACCACCAATGATTCTGTTTCCGTACACACCTAAAGAGAGAGGATGGGGTCAGACACAACAAGGCACAAAGGCTTGTGTCAAAAATTCACATTCATAAATGACATATTGCTCTACAACAAAATCAGATCATAAGGTCCAGTTTTAACTTACATATGAAGTCAGTCATGTGTGATTAGAGGTTTAAAGGGTGAAAAGACATTATTTAAACGTATTCTAAGATGCCATTGTTCCTTACCTGGTAGATTTACAACAAGCAGAAGGAGCAGTGTGAGGTGACAGGATGGAGCCAGGTTCATCTTAGCAGCTACCAATACAAAGGTGGTCAGTATCAAATCAAATGAAATAATATTTTTTCTACCTAGGTCAAGTTCCAAGTGATTCATTTTTACTTTAAAAAATTCCCTTATTACCTTTTGATTGTGCCCTGTACTCTCCACCTGCTAGCAACCTTACTGCACAGCTGATTAAAAATAATATGTAATCTAAAATCCATTTGATACAAATTTGTCTTACCTTATGAAGAGTCAAGTAAAAAACAGTCCAGCATCCACACACTGGTACACACACTTTCACACGCTCCTCTCATAACGGGACATACAGTAAAGTTTGGGAACTCTCAGACCTCTTTTATACTGTAACTATGCCTGTCGTTCTCATTGTTCCCTGCCATTGTCTGCCAAATATCTACTGGACATATCGCTGTCAGACACAGTAAACAGAGAGTCTGACCTACTACAAAAAAAACACACACATCCACACAAAGAAACACGGCCTTCTCTTTGATTACGGCTCTCTTTCTATGAGGTTTGTTCTCACAGATTCAGCCTTTTGTCCAGATGTGACGACAGAGTGAAGATTAATAGAGATGAAACCTAACAAGCCAGAGAAATGATAGAATATACTGTTCAGACATACAGTACTGTTGATGTATCTAGTGATGTTACAGAGGGCAAGACAAAAGCTGGAGTATGATACCAACTAGAGGCAGACAAGACATAACAGTATTTGTTCTTCACATAAACACGGAAATGCTTTTTCTCAGAAATCCAATTGAACTGAACTGAGAGCAGGGGCATCTGGCTGAGCAGGTCGACTGTATGTCCATCTCCTGTACTGCTGCTTTCCACTCAAGCTGAATTTGATTCTATATAAACCAATATTTAAAACATGCCTAAATCAGTGCTTCAGCCTTCATTTGAACGACCCAGCAGGGACACATTGTTTTGTAATGTCTGTCTTCAGTGTCATTCCTCTCCTCTCGCAACCTTTTCCACCTCCCCAGGTGGAACAACAGGCATAGAAATTCCCAGCAGGTCTTTTTTTTAACTTTTTGCTCACATGAAGGTGTTTGGTTTGTACCTTCGCCTGCTTAGCCTCCATGCTGTCAACACTCCCCAAGGTGTCATTCCATCTGAAGGTGAAAGGCGATAGCATGCTCGCGCTCCCTCACAGGCAAAGCCAAGATGACAAGCAGGATGCTGTCGCATGTGTTTGTGTGTGTTTGTACATATGTGAGACAGAGCTTTGCACAAAACTGCTTGTGCATTATATATGTTATCAGTGGTGAGTCTGAGAGGAGCATGGGTGACTGAAACATACAGAAACTTGTTTCTACCATGTAGACATTTGTACTGACATAAAAGTGACTGAGTATGTCTCTACACTGTGTGTCAGCTGATCTAATCTCTATGTTCACATTGCACTGAGTTTTCAGTGATGTAACTGCACTTCATTTTGTGTAAGTTTGAATTCAGCTGTCATGTTCTGCCCCAGGCTTCCTGCTAGAGACTCTTATTTTGAAAGGAATTTCCTAGTTTTCACTGCCTTTCTCTCTCTGGCTTTACTACTGCCAATCGGTGGCAGATTCAGATCATCTGGATAATTCCACTCACCTGTTGCTCCTTATTTTCACCCTTCATATGCTGCCTTCCATACATTTTCTCTTCAGTTGCTGGATTGTTGTCAGCCCTACACCATGCTTTCGAGTCAGCACTGGTCACAGACTCTGTGCTCTGCGTGTGTGTGTGTCTTGTTGGCAAAGCCTGCTGCTGAGCTTGCCTTAGGCCTTGGATTTGGGAAGCCTACCTGTTTGGTGTTTAGGGTGTTTTTTATTTAATTTTTTCTTTCTCTCACTGCCCATATTTTGTCCTTGCCAGCACTTTGTGTTCTGTTGCAGCGGTCCCCTTTGTCTTTTCTGAGCTCGGTCATATTTTTGCTGACTGTTACCCAGATTGTTTTTTTTTTTTCCCTCACCATTTCTCCCTCAACTCTTCTAAGTCTTTCTTACCTACTTATGCTCCCCTCCATCATTACCCTGAGCCACTGGGTCCCCTCCAAGGTCACTGTCTTATGGTCCACCATAGCCTGACCGCACCTTATCTGTCACTCCATCATAGTCAGTTTTTGAAAATCAAAAATTTACCTAAAGGTGACGGTCTGCGGAGTTGGGTTAGTGCTGGAGCAGGAAACACCTGACGGAGGGAGGCCACATAAAGCCATCTCTCCCATTCTACTTGGTGAAGGCATCAATTATTCAGCCCACTCTAAATGCGGGACAAGAGGAGGTCAGGTGAGATTCTCCTCACACACTGTGTGAGTGATGTTGACTACCCAGAGGGCTGATGATGGTGGTGATGATGATCAGGATGACGGGTAATGGGTTATCATTGTCGACACAGATTTGATGACGACTGATGATTCATCCTCATACAGGGACACGCTACCTGTGGGTTGTCTGACTCAGATGTGCATCTTCGCACAGCTACAAAACAAAGCTATGTACACACACACAGAAGGCCACTGAAACATTTCAACACAGATAAGCCTGGATGATGACAAAGGGGGTGCTGATACAGGGTAGATGAACCCACAAGGCACAGTAATGTGTTGCCATGGCAACAGCATAAGACCTTCCACAGGTCAGAAGGGTCAGGAGAAAGGATTGTGATGGCAGGGAGGTGCTAGGCAGTTTTTTTGAAGGTGAACTTTGTTGCTCTGACTCTTCTGTCTCAATCAGTGTCACAGAATTGGACCCTGGTGCCACATGACGAATGATGAAATAACTTTTTTTTTCCCCTAGAGGAAGCTTAAGGCTAAAGGTTGATGTGATGATGACTCCTATACTGTTTCCAGAAAGGAGAGGATGCTCAGGCTGGACCGGCAGAAACAGGCAGAGGACACTGGTGGTCTGGCTGCAGTGGTTTAGTTGCTGGTGTGGTGCAGGATAACGGCTCAAAACCTCCACAACTATAATGAACCAGCTCATGTGTGTACAGTGCCTTGCGAAAGTATTCGGCCCCCTTGAACTTTGCAACCTTTTGCCACATTTCAGGCTTCAAACATAAAGATATAAAACTGTAATTTTTTGTGAAGAATCAACAACAAGTGGGGCACAATCATGAAGTGGAACGAAATTTATTGGATATTTCAAACTTTTTTAACAAATAAAAAACTGAAAAATTGGGCGTGCAAAATTATTCAGCCCCCTTAAGTTAATACTTTGTAGCGCCACCTTTTGCTGCGATTACAGCTGTAAGTCACTTGGGGTATGTCTCTATCAGTTTTGCACATCAAGAGACTGAAATTTTTGCCCATTCCGCCTTGCAAAACAGCTCGAGCTCAGTGAGGTTGGATAGAGAGCGTTTGTGAACAGCAGTTTTCAGTTCTTCCCACAGATTCTCGATTGGATTCAGGTCTGGACTTTGACTTGGCCATTCTAACACCTGGATATGTTTATTTGTGAACCATTCCATTGTAGAATTTGCTTTATGTTTTGGATCATTGTCTTGTTGGAAGACAAAGCTCCGTCCCAGTCTCAGGTCTTTTGCAGACTCCATCAAGTTTCCTTCCAGAATGGTCCTGTATTTGGCTCCATCCATCTTCCCATCAATTTTAACCACCTTCCCTGTCCCTGCTGAAGAAAAGCAGGCCCAAACCATGATGCTGCCACCACCATGTTTGACAGTGGGGATGGTGTGTTCAGGGTGATGAGCTGTGTTGCTTTTACGCCAAACATAACATTTTGCATTGTTGCCAAAAAGTTCGATTTTGGTTTCATCTGACCAGAGCACCTTCTTCCACATGTTTGGTGTGTCTCCCAGGTGGCTTGTGGCAAACTTTAAACAACACTTTTTATGGATATCTTTAAGAAATGGCTTTCTTCTTGCCACTCTTCCATAAAGGCCAGATTTGTGCAGTATACGACTGATTGTTGTCCTATGGACAGAGTCTCCCACCTCAGCTGTAGATCGCTGCAGTTCATCCAGAGTGATCATGGGCCTCTTGGCTGCATCTCTGATCAGTCTTCTCCTTGTATGAGCTGAAAGTTTAGAGGGACGGCCAGGTCTTGGTAAATTTGCAGTGGTCTGAAACTTCTTCCATTTCAATATTATCGCTTGCCCAGTGCTCCTTGGGATGTTTAAAGCTTGGGAAATCTTTTTGTATCCAAATCCGGCTTTAAACTTCTCCACAACAGTATCTCGGACCTGCCTGGTGTGTTCCTTGTTCTTCATGATGCTCTCTGTGCTTTAAACGGACCTCTGAGACTATCACAGTGCAGGTGCATTTATATGGAGACTTGATTCCACACAGGTGGATTCTATTTATCATCATTAGTCATTTAGGTCAACATTGGATCATTCAGAGATCCTCACTGAACTTCTGGAGAGAGTTTGCTGCACTGAAAGTAAAGGGGCTGAATAATTTTGCACGCCCAATTTTTCAGTTTTTTATTTGTTAAAAAAGTTTGAAATATCCAATAAATTTCGTTCCACTTCATGATTGTGTCCTACTTGTTGTTGATTCTTCACAAAAAAATAGTTTTATATCTTTATGTTTGAAGCCTGAAATGTGGCAAAAGGTCGCAAAGTTCAAGGGGGCCGAATACTTTCGCAAGGCACTGTATGTGTTGTGCTACTGAACTTCATGACAGCCCCCAGTGAGTACATAATTTCATCTTTGTTTTCATTTAGCAAATGTTGAAGTGGCCAGTTTCATGGTTTTGCTTATCTGCCAGCAGCAGACACTGTTACCTTTTCTCAAACATATCTTTAGTTTCAAACTTCCCTTTTCCTAACTTGAAAGGACAAAACATTTTAAATGAATAATTAAGCACTTCATGAAATATGCTTGAGACCTAGATGAGAAGGTTGATGCCACTCTTGTGTCTGTACAGTAAATATGAAGCTAATACAGCACCGTTAGCATTGCATAAAGACTGCAAATGGGGACAAATGTATCAAATCTAACAAGTTCTGCCAATAAGAACCTCTAAACTCTAACACTTTACTGTACAAGAACTAATTGTAAAAATTATTCACATAACCTCCTGGATCTCTACTGCTTGTTTGGCGCATGAGATGTAGCACTGTAATTGGTGAACTTTAGAGGTGCGGGGAGGTTTGTTACCTTTGCACAGGCTACATGTCCGTGCAGATTCTCAGTCATCCAGGTCATGGTAAGCTGAAAAAAGATCAACTTGATCAACTGGACTTGGTTTTAGGTCACCTAAAACCAAGTCCAGTTGATCTTTTTTTTTCTAAGTTTTTTCAGCTTTGCACAGGCTAGTTGTGTCCCATTGTTTCCAGTCTTTGTGTTTTGCTAAGCTAACAGTTCCCGGCTGCATGTTTACTTAGCTACAATTTACTTTACACTGGCAGAAGCTCAACTACAGCAATGCTACCCATTGACTAAAACTACTTAGAAAAAAGTGGTTCAAACTACTTTGTAAAAAGAAAAGTTAATTTAAAAACATGTGATGCAAAAAAGATTGTTTTTCCACAGGTCATATTAAAACACTCCACTATTCATGGGAAGGTGCTATGAATGTCAGCTTTGGTTTTGTATACCTACACAAACCCTTCTTGGATTTTCACAAAAACAAAGTTGCAAGGATTTTGTAAACACATTTTTTAAAAATCTGTCCTTTCATTTTACGGCCCAAAACTGTTTGTATAGTTGGCTACACAAAATTGGCAAAAAAAATTTGTTTAACTACTTGAATCATCATGCCAGTATGAATGTGGGTAAACTATCAGCAAGCTACTGCAAAATGTGGTTAAAGTTCTAGTGTACTTGTCTGTTGTTTACTCCTCCCCAACCCTGCTTTTAGCTTTCCTCTACTTTACATGGTCAGTACAGTTTATGATAGTTCCTCCAAAGGGTTCATAAACAATTCAAATATAATTCCACCCATGTTCCCAGGACGGAGTTGTAGATATTTCCAGGAAATAGTCCTAAATGTTCACATGTTTGCTCTCTATGTTTCATGACTTTCCAAATGTGACTGAAATCTATACCTTGAGAGCTGTTGCTACATATTCAGGATGTTTTGCTTATTTAGCAGTTTTGATAAAAGTATAAACAACTATGCAACAGCTATCCGTCCCTACCGGTCAGTCCAGAGTGAAGAAGCTGTTTGGATGAGAGGTGAAACTGCACAGCAAATCCAGTTGTTGCTGGGGGGTCTCAGACTAAATGTGGCACCCCCCATTCAGTAATCTTGCAAACTATTGCAAAATCAGTCTCCCAAAGCTCATTCTCACTTTTTGTCTTGTCAGTGTTTCCATACAGGCCATGTGCTCATGCAGGGCCCTATGTTTACACTGCAGAGCACCAGGGGTCCACACTTGTGGCGTGGTGGGTAAGTGGTGCACAGGCACTGGGTGCTGACTGCAGCACACTGTAACACTGGGTAAGAAGAATATCATCAATAAGCTGTTGATCCATTTTGCTGATATTGGGTGAAAGAAAGCTTTTCATAATGTCCAAACTGAGGTTACTGTACATACTTGTGTTTTAAAACTGCTTGCCATGCTAGAAACATAGCAATATGGATATCGGCCAGTCAGTTGGTCCACCACTGTGGTCCAGACTGAAATATCTCTACTTGACAAAATGCCATGAATGTTTGGACAGATAATCGTGGTGCCTGACACTGCTCCTGGTTGACTTTGGTAATCTCCTGACTTTTCTTCTGGCACCACCATTTTTGATTCGGTAAAATATTTCAACAATTGGATGGATTCTCATGAAATTTGGTGCCAGCACTCATGTTTCCCCGATGACAAATCCAAATGACTTGGGTGATCCCTTAATCTTTCCTGCCATGCAATCATCAGGTGATTTTTAATTTGTCAGTATATGCAAAACTAATGACTTTGCATCAACTGACATCATTTTGATGCAAAGTAAACCTGTTTACAGGCCACTGGGAAGTCAAACAGCACACAGATGTGGTTGAGTTGGCTGACCTTGCCACATCATTGGTGTGTATGTGTGTGTGAGAGAAAGAACTGTGATTTTGTTTAGATTCAGGAAATTGGCCAAGAAATTTATCCCAGCCCTGTCTGCAGACAATAAGCCATTGTTCCTCAGCAGACAAACACTTCTGGCTTTGTGGGAGTTGTGGTCGACCCGTGTCATTCATCGTCACTGCTGATCCCTGCCTAGTGATGTACAGTATGACTCGGAGTCCAAACAAAAGTTCATGATAAAGACAAAATGAGAAGCAAAACTGTCATAATCATGATTGCTCTGGTGTGTGGTGTTGAAAATGGGCCTGTGCTGAATTTGTTCTTCTCTCTTAGAAGTGGCCAGTCATGATTAAATCCCAAGGCCATGGTCTACTTACTGCTGGATGTGATGTAAAATTGAAATGCTCTGTCTTTCAGGGCAGAGTGCAGGATGGTAGTGGCTGGTGACTACACTGTAAATACCTTCGAGGGTACTGAGCACTACATTAAACCTCTCAGGCTGGTCCCCCATCCCCGCTACAACAGCAGCACAAACAAAGCAGACATCAAACTCATTGAGGTACTGCAGGCCAGTGAAGATATTTAGCAATGTTTTACATTTTTACAATAATGTAGCTAGAATTTTTAAAAATGCAGTCACATTAAGGTTTTTTTGTTTTTTGTTCTTTGCTTAAGGTCTCATCTTAAATGTGACACCCCCCATTCAGTAATCTTCCATTAATCTCGGTGTGAGTATAAAGAATGTTTTGTACTTGCACTGTAAACCTTTTATGAAGGACTGTATATTTATTTTGATTCTTTTACATATTTTAAATCTGCATAAAATTAATTTCTTGGCTATTTGGGGCAGCGGAACAAGTTGTACACACCACACTGACATATTATTCCCTTTAGAAAGTTGATATAGTAAATGTGTTAGCAAACAGTCGCCTATGTGCCTATCCAGCAGACGCACACTGGCAGGCGTCTGGGATTATCTCTGGGGACCTGACAAATGTTAAGCCCATTCTTTCTTTCGGGTCTGCTTTGTTCTCACCAATGCCAGAGGGAATTACCTGGCTCCTGAATACAAAATTTTCCACTGTGTTCACCAACATGTTGCCAGCTTTGTCTGTCTGCTGTTTGGGTGCGGTTATTGGCCCTTAAACCAAAACAGAGTTGAAGGCATCAAGGCTGGAGAGGAAGACAACAATGGATAAGTTTTCTGTTTGTTCATTAAGTCTGTCCGTTGTTACTATAGAAAGTGTTGATCAGTGTAGGTTTGATAATGGTCAAGATGATATTGTATATTTGAATGATATTAAAAAAAATTCATCATACTAAAATTTGTGTAGTGTCACTTGCCTGGTTAGAAACTGTCTTCTGATTTTCTGTCCATCTGCGGGGCCCTATGGTGCTGAGCAAATATATTGTCACTGGCGCCTCTTCCCAGACAGGGGACAGATATGGTTGAAGACTGGGTGTGTCTGGGTGGGGCTACAACAGTTTAGGTGGAGGCCAGGCCCCCTTCACTCTGAGAACAGTCACAGTGCCAACTGTGTCAACTGCAAGGTTTAACAGCAGCAAGGCTGTTCATGAAAACATCACAGCAACCATCTGTGCTGGCTACGGGACTGAAGGAAAAGCCTCGTGCAAGGTACACAGGAAAATGTGATTATACCTTCTTTCATTAATGTCCAGCAGTTAAAGGAAATGGGTGATGCAAATTAATTTCTGCCCAACTGGCCCCTTTCAACAAACATGATCATCTGATCTTTGAAACACCATTAAATGTGTGTTTGAAATATTAAATGCCCCAAAGTCTCACAGGACATATTAAATAGCACAGGGTCATCTCTTTTCATCATCTCACATTAAAGCAAAAAAAAAAAAACTTCTGGCAAGTTCAGCCCCCTGACAGTATGATGCTACAGTTCATCATGTCAGTGTTGCTGCAGCTACAAACTTTAATTAAGCAGGTGTGGCAGTTGGAGGTTACCATTTGAAATAAAATATTTTAAATGCATCCTTAGCCACTAATTATGGCATCAGTTAACTGGGCCCTCTCTGATGGAGCATACAATCAACTAGCCACATTTGGTCAGTTTTAAATCTTATGTCATGTTGGTCACTTATAAAGTGCCATAAAGCCTTAGCCCCACATGTGAATTCATCACAAACACATTTCACATGTGATTAATGCACGTACAGTATGAGCACGTGAGCTTCAGATATTACACCATGTGTAAATGTAAGATCACATAAGATGTACCTATTTTTTCGTAAAAGTATTAAATATTGTATGTTATTTGGATCATTTAAAACCTCCACACACTCAAAAGACCTGTTCTACTCAACAAATGGTTTAAATCAATAAAGCATCGCCCAGTAGCAGGTCCCTGATTGCAGCTGATCTTCAACCCCCACCCAACCCTTCCATATTGATGTTGGCCTATAGTTCTTTATAAACTGTGTCGTAAACAAGTGTAAAAGCGAAGGCCCTCCGGATTGAACTGGAAGTGCGCTATGGGACCAAAGGTCACATCCCGTCTAATGAAAATACTGCCATCCTCTGGTAAAGTACGATTCGGTGGATTGTTCGGCCCCCTTATGGTAAAATACATAGCAAAATTTGGAAAACTGGTTGGGGGATTTAATATCTCTAACTCGTCGAATGGTGGCGCGTAAACGACGTTTTCCAAAGATCTGAATTGTCTCATAAATGTGCCATCTCTGAAAATAAAATCGCCATTTATGTGACTGCCTCTAGATCCCGGAGAGTGGAGCATTGGCACACTACGACTCTAACTGGAAGCTTCTCAGGGCTGCACCAGAAAACCCCCGCACAGCTCCCTCGGCAGGGCACCCCGGGATCCGTGTTTTGCATCGCTCCACAATTTGCATTTCTGCCTCAGATTTTCCGTGCGACGGGTTCAGCCGCTCGAAACCAGCGGGCGCTCCACGGCTGTATTGTACGTGCGCCTGCATTTCCAAAGCAATATGCACAGAGAAAAAAAAACTCTGGAAATTTTAAATAATGTTGCCTAAGCTCCACGAGTGGAGATATTGAGGACATTTTGATTTACTGTTGTTTCTGTTGCGCACCTACGGAGACAAACACGTGTCTTCGGGGTAAACAGAAAGGGCTAGATTGTGTCATCAGATTTCGTTTTCTCCTTTCTGTTTGTTATAGACCACCGAGTTCAAGCTTGGCGTCGAGCTATACATTTCATTTTGTGCGCCTTGGTGATAAAGACGCATTTGGAGATGTCGGAAGTACTGCCTTTCAACGAAGAAAAAATGAGCCATTATGGAAATGAGGGCGACGAGGGACACCTTTCCTTCACCTGTCGTCTTCAAGACACCAACAACTTCTTCAGTGGCTCACAGAACAAACGTCCGCCGAAGCTTGGGCAAATTGGCAGGAGCAAACGGGGTAATTATACAATTAAGGCGTTTTCGTTTGTATTGTTTGCATGATATATTGAATGCGCACATACTGTAGGCTGCTAGTGGACCATAATTAAGGTCTTTTGTCTGAAACCAGATGGGCAACACCGTTGCTTTGACATGGTCGTCAGTAGAATGTATAGTCAGAGAAAGTGGCTGTTTGCATGTGTGTGGGATGTATGGGCTTTTAAATATTCTATTCGCATTGCAACACAAGTTGGGTGCGCAGTGCGTGCTGTTAAATGCCTTGGGAATGCTGCTCAACAGAGTCGTGCTGAATGTCCAATCGCTTGATAACTGGTTGGAATTAAATACTGTGTAATTATGATTTTCATGTTTGCATGGTCCATTCAGGCTGCGTGTGTTCCTGCATTCCTGATAAAACCCATGAGCTGCTCCTTGCAAACTGAGCCTCACTTAAAGCGGAACATACTTGCACACAGTCGCATGTAGTAGTGTGCAGACACAACATGGAAAACGGGCAGACGTGTAAGAATTGCTTCTGTAGGTGCACAGCAACGTGCAGAAATTCACACACGCACGTTTTCCCAGACGTGCATCGCACTCAGATTCACAATCAAGCTTATGGTTATCTCTCCCTTTTTGCAGTGCTTCACTCGCTCATGCGTGTATACATCACTTCTGCACATACAGCACAGCAGCCATGGCTCTGGGTTTTAATGCCCTTCTGTCGGTGGTGGATTTCAGCCACTTCATGATGAACCCCCAACCCCACCCCCTTATTAACTCTCTCCCCTGTCATCCACAGTTGTGATTGAGGATGAGAATGGCGACAACGAAGCACTGAAAAATGGAACAGAGAAGACCCCAGCAGATGCTTAGAGCGTTCAGCTCACCACCCCCTAAAAGACACTCTTGAAATTTTTTATGGCGATATTTACCAGTTTTAATCCAAAGACTCTGTATATAAGCACTTTCTCTCATGTGGCAGCAAGCAGCACTTCCACACCCTCCTCTTCCAGTCAGTCATGGCCATCCGGGTGACATTCACTGGGAGCGGTGGGAGATGGCAGCGAACGAGACCCCCAGATGGAGCCCCCCTCCCCCCAGCATGCACACACAACCACACAGATACGCAAACAAACACACCCTTGATTATAGGGTTTTGCCATAAATCCAAAAGCAGAAGAAGACAAGGAGGGGGGAGTTGTGGTGGGGGCAAGGTGAAGGAAGGAGACAACGCTGTCGAAATGCAGAAATCAGGGACAGAATGCAGAAATAAATCTATTATAAAAAAGTAAAGCACACACTTCTCCTATATCTCACTAATCAAACCTGTGGTATCGTTCTTTCTGCTCTTCATTTTAACCAAGGACAATGAACAACAGAGCTTGTAAATATGGAAAGGGTAGCCCATATTTTCTTGCACAAAGTGGGAATCGGTAAACTGGTTTGTTCTGTGTTAAAGACTTTATTTATTGATTGTTTGGAGTATGTCCTTTGCAGTGACTTATGGCCAGGGGGAGTGCTTGTTTTGTATGTCAAGAAAACTTTGAGCGAATGAGTGGGATTTTCTTGTATCCACTTAACAATTCTTGATGTTGCCTGAGTGTTTTTTGTTATATTTTGCAGCTAATAAGTCATTTATATACAGTGTACCTCCCACCTGTTTGTAAGCTTCCCAGGCTTTCACCTGGATTGGTTGATACTGTAACCTGACTGTACACACCCTATCGATAAACTATTTATATTGCATTGTGCATTATTGTGTGTGCCAAATCTCATGAGGGATATAACTGTACCAGACAACTTGTTCTTTTTGTGCTTTATACATTTACTCATACAGTTCAGTTGTTTTGTTGGGTTGCTGTCTTTTAGGGCTCTTTCTTAAAACACAAATACAAACTCATGCATGGCAAAATATGAAATCATGCATGCACAGCAGAAGTTCTGAAACTCTTGTGTATTCTTGAAGCACCTCGTATACAGCTTTGAATGACAAACCTCGAGAAACAGTCTTAATTCTGCGTTGTACTGTATGGTTCACACTGATTTGTACAGTGGCCTAATATCTTGTAATAAAGATGAAGAAGTACTATTTACTGTTTTAGTGTTGACTGTGGTTTACAATAAGGTATGGTGTGTCTTGATGTTGTTTTTAAAAACAAGCAAAAACACAAATCTAGTTTTGTATCAGAAGGAAAAAGACAGTAGCAAATACTCTGGGTGAATTTTTTTTTATTTTTATGTGTTGCTTGTACATTTCTCCCTCTTGTATTCGTTTACCTATCTGACTGCCGAGGAAGGTCAAGTCAGCATTTTCCACTGTGAGAAAGTACCATTCCATCCCATGGAGAGATGAGATATGAAAGGAGACAGAAATGGGAAGAAAAGACGAGCAAGTAGTCCCATCAAGAATTTCCTGAGCTGTTTAAAGGAGAGTTGAGATACACCACTAGGACAACTGCGCAGCAGACTATGATCTATCAAGTGCTACAGTATTGCAAATGATTCTGTGACCACTGCTTCCAAATGCAATAAATTTCTGTTTGCATCTAAAATCTCTGCTCCTCTCTTTAGTCAAGTCCTCCCTTTAACTTCATTGCCAGAGATGTACATGGTGCAGGGGGCACTGAGGCCTGAGGGAAACCAAAGAGACATGACATTTCCAACTCTGCTGTGGTGACTAAATGATTCATGCTGTATGACAAGTCTCTGTCAGAATCTTAAACCCTAGACCACCCTGGGAACACATACATGGACGTACACATTGGCATACACGTGTCCATTTCAGCTCCAACTGCAGGAGAGACTAACATATTGCCAGTCTCTCTCCCTCCCCAGTATTGACAGACATGAAAGGGGCTGCCTGGGCTGGGTACCATGGTAACAGATGCACCTTGCACTCGATGGGTGCTGCGGTGGGTTTCTGTGCAGAACAGTCTTCCCTGAGCCTCATCTTGATACCATCACTCTCTCTAATGGAATGTTTTCCACTCTCTTATCTCTGCCCTCTTCTTTTAAGACCCCCTGTTCACTCAGTGGCGTGATCGTATTATCCCTGCCAAAATAGTCCCTTCTTCCAAGATGGCAGCCAACCATGACGATGGCGTCTACTGCAGTAACAGCCTATCCTCTCACTCAGGATGAGGAGATGTTACATTTAGGGAGTAAAGCTTTATGAGCCTGCATGGTTGCGGTGAAAACTTCAAAGGACTGGACTGAGTCTAAACACGGTGTCCCATACAATAATCATACAGTCAAACCTGTAGGACTTAACCAGGAACATGCTGCTGGAAATCACAAAGGGTAGAGAGTAACAAAAGAAACACTGCAGTAGTCCTGCTGTAAATATGAATTTGGTGAAGCTCATAATCTTCAGATTATGCTGAGATTGTCAGGTGTCACTTTTGAGGCTGTTATCTGCTGTGCACATGGCTCATTAACTGTCCTTTAAAGGTGCTCTGTTCGTTGCTTGGAATTTTTGAAACTTTTCTCCATCCCACATTACATCATTTTGCAGTATTTACAGCAGATACCCCACTAATTCCAGCAGTGGTAAATGGACTGTATTTTAAGTGAGCACCTATATCAAATCATCAAGTTGTAACTCATTTGTGACTCATAGTAACTGTGTGTGACTCATAGTATAGTAGAGTACCGACTACCAGCATGTGTTTGCTTAGCAGAGGTTTGAAAGGAAGAATGGGTTTATAAGGTGACCAACAAAGCCAGTTGCTAATGCTGAATTGCAGGTACGTCCCTGGCAAAATTACAGTGCATGGCAATAATCATGATAACTAGATGCTAAATACAGAAAAACTGCATTAGGAAAGAGGAAAAGGGGTCACATGAACACACACAAAGCTGATACACACTAAATTGAAAAGAGTTTTAAAAACTGCCACCTAAAAAGTGACCACCAAGTTAAGTCGACACCTCTGGCTCTGTCAGATAGTTAGAGTGCAGAACGTCACGGTTGTGGATGAATCCGTTCAGACAGTCCAGAGAGATTGGGACGATATTAAACTACCATTACAAGATAAAAACAGAATCAGTCTCAGCCAGAATATTCATGGGGGTCGAACAGGGGGGCTGGAGCCAATCCCAGCCGACGTCGGGCGAGAGGCGGGGGACACCCCGGACCGGTCGCCCGTTCCT